AGCAGCCAGAGCAGGGGTCTTCAGGCTTGTGTCCTGCAGTCCCCACGCACTGTCAGGCTCCTTTTCCTGCGCACAGCACGGGACGGTGTGACCTGGGCGTGCATCACACTTCCCAGCTGTGAGTGTGCACGTGGGTGTGTGTGTGTGTAAAATACCCACAGGTGCTTCTGTGTGCATTTCAGGTGCGCAGGGGGCACGTGTGACCTGCTGTGGTTAGCACATGAGTGTGGCGTTGTGTTCACATGGCGAGCTGCCGTGTTTATGCGGGCACACAGAAGGGGAAAGCAGGGACAGCACAGTTTGGCCTCCCGGGCTCTTGGTCCCAGGTCCACCACTGTTTGCTGTCCTTAACCCCCGGCCTTAGTTCTGTCCTCTGGGGAAGCCTGCAGAATCAAGCAGACCCCAATTCTGGTCCCAGCCCGGCTCTGCCAGCTGTGCGATCCAGGCAGTGTTGAGTACCGGGAGCTGCTTGTATACGGGGGACACATGAGCGTGCACATGTGAATCTGTGCATGCATGGTGTGTGTGCAGGCTGGCGGTCACACTCAGGGCACACATTTGGGGTGCGCACCATGGAGGGGCGGCTGTGCCCCAGAGGCCTACCCTGGGGGACCCTGGTCCAGAGCCCTGGCTGCGGGGAGGGGCTCTCTGGCTGTCAGGCCTGCGGTGAGTGAGGGGCGCCCCCCACCTGCGGTGATGGAGCCCGGCTCCCCCACCAGAGCTGCCAAAATAGGCCGAGACAGGGTGTAATTACCGGCACTTACCAGGGCCATTACCCCCCTTGCCGCTGCGCGTGACACACGACCCGTCAGCCTGGCGTTCGCACCATTAAGGGCCCTCATTAGCATCCCGGCTCAGAAGCAAAATTACCCTCACTGCTCATTTCAAGATGTCATCAATTTTAATTTAGGGCCCAAAGATAGCACAATGGGAAGGCCCTGCCTGCCGGGCAGGCGCTGCACAGAGCAGGGGGCGGGAGGCCGGGGGAGGGGAGACGCAGAGGAGGCCGGGGAGGGGGGCGAGGGGAACGTCCACCCAGGATCCTTTAACCCTGGGAGGTCCACATCGCCATCCCTCTTACAGCTGGAGAAACTGAGGCAGAGGGGCCCAAGCACACAGCATGCCCACATGAAGTACAGGTCTGGCTGGTTTTGCTGTTCTCCGCCCTCCTGGACCATGAGCTATGGCCCTGGGAAAAGAAAGAAGGGGCTCCCGGGTACCCTGGCTTGCACACTGCAACCCAGGCCAGCCCCAAAATTGGGCACTTCCAGCCTGGCTGGGCACTGCTACCCTCAGATTGAGGACTCTGTCTGGGCTCAGAGGGACCCTGAGAGACTTCGGTTGGACAGAGGCTCCAGTCGGCTATTTCAGTCAGTCTTCAAGAGCACAAGAGTGAGTGTGCCACGAATGTTTGTTGAGTGACTGCATGACTGAGTATATAAACAAACGAGCTGTGTCCGGACCCCTCCAGGAGCAGAAATCCAAGAGCTTTGCAACCCCCAGCAGCTGCATCCACACTCCCGGTGCATTCTGCACCCTGACACGGAGGGGAACTTCACAGGCCTCTGGCTGCGGGGGAGTTTGCAGACCTGGGGGGAGGGATGCCCCTCTCCAGTAGTGGATGGCACGGTCTTCCTCATCACCTCGGGATCTCCAGCCAGCCTGGCCAGTCTGTCCTAACTCACAGTGGGGTTCAAGCAAGACCCTGCATGCAGCCCACGGACCTCAGTTTCCCCAAATGTAAAGGAGGGGGCTTGTGACAGGCAAACTGGAAGAGGGCCAGGCCCAGGCTGGAAAGGGGGCACTGCCAGCCATGGAGCCGCCCTCGGCCTCCAGTCTGGTCTCCCAGCCACTGGGCAAGAAGACAGGGGGCTCCATCCCGAGCCAAGACGGGGGTCCTCACCAGCGCCAGGCGCCGCCGCTGGCCGCCCCAAAGACGGATGGCTCCCTTAATCACTCTGGAAAAGAACCCCAAGCCGCTATAATATTATAATTAATTAATTCACTAAAAAGGTATTAAATTCCTCTCCCCCCTGTGGATATTATCTGAATTCATTGACCTTTAGAAAAATCACACTCTAATTGTAACCAGGTCCAAAAGCATTTGCAGCCAGTCCCTTTTACATTAATAATATCTGCCCAGGCTCAGCTCCGGTGGCTTAAATATTGTATAAATTCCACTGGCCGTGGAAGAGAGAGCCAAGGAAGCAGCCCGGGCTGGGAAGCAGAGATGGAGACAGGCCAGAGGAGGGGGCCGGCGTCGGGGGCTCTGAGCAGCCATGGCCCACTGGGGGCCCCAGGGCAGCGGGAGCGGTGAAGCTGGGGTGGGTTTTAGGAGGCCGGCTGTGGCAGGAGCACCCAGGCACAGACAGAGGCAGACAGACAGAGAGAAGGACAGAGAGACTGAGAGAGAAAGGAGCAGAGGCTTGCAATGGGAAAGGGTCCGCTCCAGGGAGAGGAGGGGGAAGGGAGGAGAGAGGAACCACCACTGTGTGACTTGTGAGCCAGCTCCCAGGGGTGAGTGCAGGGACCACGTGCTGCAAACACAGGCTAATAAAAATAAAAACGGGGGGCGGGGGGAGGGCTGGGATTTAGCTCAGCGGCATAAGTGCCTGACTGGCAAGCAGGTCTTGAGTTCGATCCCCGGTACCAAGAAGTAAAAAATTAAATTAAAAACCAGGTCAGGGATTTAGCTCAGCGACATGAGCGCCTGGCAAGCGCTAGGTCGTGAGTTCAATCCCCGGTACCAATAAATAAAAAAATAAATAAAAATTCTTAAAGTCTCCATCTCAAAAACAAATAAAAAATAAAACACCGTGGCATGGAGGGACCAATGAAGCTCTGAGCGGGGTGATCTGAGGTCTCCTGTCCATTGTGGGGCAGACACAAGGGAATCCGGACCCCCTGCCAGGAAATGGGTCCTAAGTGAGTAACAGTGCAGACAGACAGACAGACAGACCCAGGACCCAGAGCCCAGCACAGTGAGGCCAGGGGGAACTCTGCCTCCTCCACCTCCTTCCCCCAGACCCTGGCTCCTGCACGGGGGGAGGGGGACATACAGGCTTGTCCCCCTGCATCTCACCTGGACCCCTCTCCCACCCCCACTCCTACCTGTGCCTCAGTCTATCCTGGAGGCCTAGAGCCGGGGGTTTCCTCACTGAAAGAAAGGGCCCTGGCAGGACGCCCGCTTCTCAGCCTTTTACTCCCATTTCACCTTTTTAAAAGGAGTCTCAGGTGGGTGGACAGTGGACGACAGTCCTCAGTCCCAGCCTCTGGGTGGCTGAGGCAGGAAGGTTGCCAATCAGAGCCCAGCCTGGGCAATTTGCCAAGACCTTGTCTAAAATGAAAAGGAAAAGGTCTGGGGGTGCGGCTGGGTTCAGTCCTCTAGGTGAGGAAGAAAAGCCAAAGAGAAGCAGAAAGTGAGGCAGGGGGCGGGCGGGCACCCCCCAGGGACCATCTGGAAAGGTGCCTCCCTCCCAAGGCCAGAGCGTCATGGAGGACGCATCCACCATGTGACTGACTGGGACTTCTCTCCAGCCAAGGTGAGGGTCTCTCGGTCGGCCAGCCGCCACCGACACATCTCTGGGTGCTAAGCGCTGGAAGGAGCCCTAGGGTCATCCTGATACAGCTTGGCAGGACCCAGAACCCGCAGGGTGGACCCCACCAGGCACAGCCCAAGGTTTGGGGAAGCGGTGCCCCTCCACACCTCCAGCCGGCCTGGCCTCCTGGCCCTGGCCTGGGGCGCCCTCTTGTGGACAGGACTCCACTCATGTCCTGAGTCCCGGCCACAGCGGGTCCCACTGAGGACAAGGGAGCCAGTCAGCAGTTGGCGGTGGGGTGAGGCCCCGAGTGGCCTGGGGGGACCTCAGGGTGAAGAAGCCCAGCAAGGCAGGGAGAGATCTCTGCACACCTGGAGGACCCTACCCCTCGCCCCACCACAGGGAGCCACACGTGGGCATCTGGGGCCCCAGGCCTCCATCCAGGGCTGCTCAGTGACTGGGGGTGGGGGACCGGCGGCCCGAAGAGGGTGCCAGCATCCGGGCTGGCTCAGGCGTGCAAGGTCATCCTCGGCTCCATCTGACCTTGACACTAATCCTGAGTCCTCGGCAGCCGGCCGCCCTGGCGCCCACATCCCCAGGCCCAGTCCTTCTCTCCCCTTGCTCGCTCGTTAATTGCTTGACGTTGATCTGATCTCTGGGCCGCACAGAGGAAATTGCCCTCTAGGCCACTTTCAGTTGGGATCTTTCTTTTTTAATTAGGTTTCTTTGGCCTCCCAGGTCCCTGCAAGGTGAAGTCACTTTGGTGAAAGTCAGTGGGACAGGTGAAGCCCACAAGACTGCTGCCTCCATCCTCCTTGGGGCTCAGGTGGCTCCATGGGACACTTTCCTGCCTAGGCCCAGGTCCCCCCATCCTGGGCGGGGCCCTGACCCCCATTTCCCAGCCAGGTCCCAGGCAAGTGAGCGGCCCACAGCCCACAAGAGCAAAGGATCCGCCGGCAGTGGCGGGGAGGCTCTGCCACCAGACAGAGCCCAGCAGCCACCACGCCCTGCCCTCCTAACCCTCCGAAGCTCCCGTGGATCCCTTCCCGGCACAGGCGCCAGGCCACATTACAGCACAGGGACCACACGGAAGGAGCTGGAGTTCCAGGACAGAGGCAGCTGGCCGAGGCGTCCCGGAGAGGCCATAGGTACAGTGGGGCTGGCTCCGGAGCAAGGCGGTCCCTGCCTTCCTCTGGCCCGCCAGGCTCAGGCCACAGTGGGAGGTGTGGGACCAGCGTGGTGGCAGCGCCACCTTGTGGCCTCGAGGAGGGACAATGCCCTGGTTGGCACCTGAATCTGTCACTTCTCTTGCTGAAGAGCTGTGGGGTTCTGGGGGACCTCCGTGTTTGTCTCATCCTCTGTACCCACTAACACTCCAGGAAGCACCCAAGGTCTTCAAGCTGGACATCTGAATCCCTGCCACCTGCCCTAGGCCAGCGCTGAAGAGACAGGACCAGAAGGTACAAAGCACAGTGTTTACTAAAGGCACAAAGTGGGGGTCCGGAGAGAGGGGAGCTGCTCTGCTGGCAGCGATCCCACTCAGCTCCGAACCCAGCCCGCTCTTCCAGCCACACCACCCTCACCCCATAGGGAGAGCTGTTAGCACCAAAGGCGGGTAGGTGCCCACCTGCGGGGTGACCAGGCTGGGGGCTGGCTTATGGCCAGGGAGGCCCCAGAAAGTGAGCCTGAGTGCCCCGGCAGATGCCGCTACACAGAAGCCCCCCGAACCTCCCTGCTGCCCAGCACCTGGCACCCAGGGCCGGGACAGGGCTGTTGCTACCCAGGCCGCTCCGTCTCTCCTCCCCACCCCTCTAGTCCAGTGACAGGGCTGCCCCTGGGGGTGCTGTGTCCGGACCCCTGGGCTGCCGGGTGGGCACGAAGTCCAAAGAGGGGCCACGGGGGCACAGTGGGCAGGCAAGCGGCTGCTTCACACAGGAGTGCGGCCGGGTAAGAAGGGAAGGAGGGAGGGACAAGGCCCGTCCCCCACCATGTGCGGGGCCACTGGGGTCACAGCACATCGCCCTCCTCCATGCTGAAGCTGCTGCGGCGGCTGCTGGCCTTGGAGGCCTCGGGGGACATGGTGGAGAACAGGGGGTCGGAGGCCAGCGGCAGCAGGGAGTCGTCGAGCAGCATGAGGTCCAGATCCTTCTTGGACAGGTTGGGGAAGCCATGCTCGGGCCCCAGGGGGTCGGGGTAGCCCGAGGGGCCCTCATCACCCCCGTCCCCAAAGCTCAGGCTGTGGCTAAAGTCCAGGTGATGGAACGGGGACGGGGGCTCGGCGGGAGGGGGCAGCGGGGCCTGGGGAGGCAGCGACGGCAGTGGCTCGGGCTCGGGCACCTCGGCCCCCAGCATCAGCGTCTCCCCAGGGGCCTCCTCGCCGGGCAGCTCCTGCTTCACCACCTGCTGGGCCAGCTCGGCCATGTTCACGCCCGACGGCGAGGTGGTGGGGAGACCGTGCACCCGCGCCTGCATCTCCAGCTCCTGTGGGCCGGGACAGGGGACAGAGGGCTGGGCACAGCTGTGGGGCGCTCTCCCCGGGCCCACACGGCATCCCCCAGCCCCCCAGCCCTGGACAGCTGCGCTGGCGTCCAGACCAGACTATGGCTGGTTCAGGCTACAAGTTGCAGCTCATTAGCGGTTGGGAAACCGCGCTGGGTCTTGGAGCTTGACTGGCTCTCTCACGCTCACATTGAAAGAGACGTGTCTAGACTGGACTCGAATAGAAATGATCACAATGCGCTGCCCCGATTCAGGGTAGGTTTCGTTTCAGGATACTGGGATGTTTCACTGGGAGCCTGGCCCAGTGTGCTGGGCGCTAACGGGAATTGTAGCATCTCCCGTGAGTTAAAAAGCTGCGGTCCAGGTGCCCTCCGCATAGAGGACCAGCCCGGGGCCCACGGTAACAAGCGGCCCTCTGACTCAAACCAGAGCCCAGGGGTGGGGCTGACACTCGGAAGTCTGGTACTTTGGTTGAGCCCCGCCTTGGCATCTTAGGGGGACTGTGGGATCACCTGTCACTGAAGCCCCACGCCCTGCCTCCTCTCTCCACTGCAGGGGTGTGGGCCCCGCGCTGGGGTCTGCGTCCGCCCGCTACCCAGGAAGCCCCGGCAGAGGGCCGGACCTGGATGCGCAGCCAGAGCTGCTTGTTGGTCATCTCCAGGCGCCGCGAGTGGCTCTCCAGCTCCCGAGACTTCTGCAGGTCTTTCTGCATCCGCCGGATGTAGTCCACGGACGCCTTGAGGATGGTGCCCTTGTTCCAGCGCACGTCCCTGCGGCGAGGCCAGCCGGGCAGTCAGCGGTCAATGCCCAGACCTGAGTCCTCGCACCCCGCCTCCTCCAGGAAGCCCCTGGGACCCGGCCTGGCTTCCCCACACAGCCTGTGGGTCCTGACTTGGGAAGCAGGCGGGCCCCTGGAAGGGTCCCTCTCCCGGTACCCGTCCCTACCCCCAGCCCACTCACAGGTCGTTGGCCTTGGGAATCAGCATTCCTAGCTCCTTGATGCGGTCATTGATGTTGAACCTCCGCCTCCTTTCAACTACAGGTGGCAGATTCCAGAGGCAGCAGTTAGCGGGTGGGGATCCCCTTTGGGCAGCCCCAGCCCAGGGAGAGGAAGGGGGGACCCGGCAGACTGGGACTCCCCAGGGTCTAGGGCTCAGGGTTCAGGCCAGTCACAATGAGAGCACTGCAAGCAGCAGCAGCTCCAGACAGCTGCCAGCCCAGCCCTGTGCCTGCAGTAAACTCCTACCCCTCCCTCAATAGCCCCAGGGTCTTCGCTCTGAAGGTCACTATGAATAAATGGGATTTCAGGAACAGCCAGCCTCCCAGCCCTTCCTAAAAAGGACCAGGCTTCGAAGAGGGCAGGATGGGGTTCCCCACAGGGAGAGCAGAGGCAGCTACAAGGGTTTGGAGCTAGGGAAGGACCCGAGTGTGGCCCTTACGGGTGACGGCGTGGGAGGGCAGGACTCACTGAGGTTGTGATTGTCCTTCTTCTGCCGCTCCTTGGCCAGCGCCCGGCTCTCAGCATCTGGAGGCCACGGTAGGAGAGGAGAGAACTGTGGGATCGTGGGATGGACAGGGAAAACCAGGGCACGAGATAGGAGGTGGGGACACGGTACCTGTGAGCTCCTGCTTCTGGGTCAGGTCAGCGGGGCAGGAGCTGCTGGTGACCCCCACCAGGGAGGCTGTGACCTGGGGGTCGCTGCTGTACACGTTCAGGTGGCTGCTGGACAGGGGCAGCTGTGGGGCAGAGCCAGGGGGGCCTCGGTGAGCCATGGGGCGTCCCCTCCAGGCCCGGGGTCCCAGGAGCTGCCCAGAGGAAGCCCTAGGCCCCTTCCCCGGAAGTGCAGCCCTGCCCTCCGGAGCCAGGATGGGAGAGGGAGGGGCCTGGCTGACCCCGAAGGCTCCAGGTTTCCTGGAGGGCATGGAGTCCCACTGAGTCCTGAACAGGGAGGAGGGAGGGCAGCGTGCGAGCAGCCCGGGTGCGGGTGCCAGCAGCTCAGGGCCAAGTTGCTGGGATGACGGGCGAGGCAGGGACACGGGAGGCAGCCCGCTCCTGGAGCGATGTGGTCTGTTTTTGTTTTTGTTGTTTTGTGACAGGGTCTTGCTATGCAGTCCAGGCTGACCTTGAACTTGCTGCAATCCTCCTGCCTCAGCTTCCCGAATACTGGGATCCCAGGCATGTGCCATCATGCCTGGTTTATGTTTTGGTTTTTCGTTTTGTAGTACTGGGGACTGAACCCAGGGCCTCCACATGCAGCTACCCCCTCAAGTCTTTATAACATCTTTTTATTCTGAGACAGGGTCAAGCTAAAACACTAATTTGCCCAGTATGGTCTTCAATTTGTAATCCTCCTGCCTCAGTCTCCCAGAGTGCTGGGATGACAGCCATGTGCTACCAAGCCAGGGTATTAACAAGGGCAGCCAGCAAAGGTTTAGGCAGAGGCAAATCTGGGAAGACCTCCCCAGCTCCAGCCATGGAGACAAATCCGGGCAGCGACACTCAGCACAATGCATGTAGCTACTCTGGGGATTGGTCGAGCACTTCCCCCCACCTCCCTTGGCCCCTGCCAGCTGCAGCTCTGGCCCAGCCGGTCCTGGCCAGCTCTCCCCAAGCCACTGGCATAGTCACCAGGGCTGTGGGGCCTGGGGCCTGATTCCTGGGCAGGATGGGGAGAAGGTCCTGGCAGAAGCAGCTGGGCCTTCACCATGAGGGGGCTCTGCACCTCAGGCACCTCAGCCTTTGGTTTCTCGCTCATCTGCTGTGGGCAGATGCCCCACTCTGCAGCTGAGGACACTAGGACCTCTGGATCCCAAGCCCAGCCTCTCCCCACCATCACCCTTCCCTGTCTGGGAGACCCCAAGTGTCGCATGGCCAGGGTGCAGCCAGAGGAGGGGTCCTGGGCCTGGGGACACCCACCCCCCGTAGTGAGAGACACAACGCTGGCCCTTGGTGTCTAGGCCCTGACTTGGTGGGGTGTGGAACTCCAGATCGGCACAAGGGCTTCCTGCGGACTCGCTGTGGCGACTCGCTGTGGCCCTGATTGTGCCCAGTCTGGTCACCCTCGGCCTGGCTCTCCTACTCCATCAGGTACCCAGAGCAGCCTGGGTGGCAGGGACTCTGGTCTCCACAGACAGATGCCAGTGGGCCCCGTCAGCTTTGTCACTCAGCTACTGGGGTTGCCCATGCCCGGTGCCCACCCGGCCTGTCCACGGGTACCGTGTTGGGCATCTGGAGCTCCGGGTTCATGTAGCCCAGCACGTTGTCCAGCCGCATGATGTTGTCGATGACGTCATCAAACTGGAAAAGGGGAAAGGTGTCTGGAGGGGATCCGGAAAGGGGACGGGGATGGGGACAGCAGGGACAGCGCTCCCCTGAGGGGCCAGGAGCCCTGGGCCCAACCGCTCACCTACAAGAGGACCCCAAGTGGCACCTGACCCCAGGCCAAGTAGGGCCCTTTCTTAGGAACCGACCTGCCCAGGAGGCCACTCAATCCCACACCAGAGCTCAGCGAGCACAGTGGTCCCCGTGAGCCTGCCGGGGCGGCCCCAGCAGGGTGGTGCACACCGAGGATGGAATTGTTTCTCCACACTGAGGCAGGGCTGCAGCCCTCCACCCTGGGCTCCTGGGCACCCCGTACTCTGCCTCCCCACCATGCTCACCTCCTTCTCGGGGTTGGAGCCTATGTGGAGCATGGCCATGGGGCTGTTGGGTGCACTGTTGCCAGCCGAGGTGGACAGCACATGCCCAGCATGCACCCCTGGGGAGGCGGCAGGCGGGGGCTTTGGGGAACCCTGGGCCGGGCTGATCCGGGCTGCGAACTTGTTCCCGTAGGTCTCGGACAGGTACTCTCGCACCTTCTGATGCTGGGACTGCTGCAGGTGGTAGGAGGTGGGGTTCTCCAGATAGGACTGCACCTGGGGGAGGCGACAGCTGCTGTGGGGCCGCTGTGAGGGGCGGGAGGCTGGGCCCGGGGGCCTGTGTGGGGCCGGGTGGGAGGACCTACCTTGAGCACCTCACCGGGCACAGGTGGCGGCGCCTGGAAGGGCACAGGGGTGCTGATGGCGGGCGAGGGGGAGGCCCCGAGCTGCTGCTGCTGCAGGAACTGGACCATGGCCGCCTGCTGCTGCCGCTCACGCTGCTCCTCCTGCTGCGCCTGCTCCCGCATGAGCTGCATACGCAGCCCGATACGCGATGCCATGGTGGCCGGCGGCTCCCTGAGGACGCAGGGACAGGATCCAGTGAGGCACGGCTGCCCCTCGCAGTCCAGGGGCTCCTCCAGGAGCTGGTACATGTGTGGGGACTCCCATGGCCCCGGAGGGGACACAGAGCCTTCAGAGGGCAAGGGCCCTGGCCACAGCCACGGGGCCGGCTGGCTGCTGAGCTGGGCCATCCACACCGAGACCTGAGCACTCTGCTGCACTGGGTCCGGTGTCAGCTTTGACTCCTCTGGGTCTGTCCCTATCCTGAGAGCTCTGGCCGCGCCCAGGTCCCCAGGGCCTGGTGGGCGTGGCCCTGCCGCCTTCTCCAAGCCCTCACAGCTCCCCTCCCACTGTTCAGTGACTCCACAGAGGTTGTCTAAATCCAAGCCAGCTCCTGCCCTGCTCTCTGCCCTGAACCTTCCATGGCTCCCACTTGCCCCAGTATCATCACCAAAGTCCTCACCATGGTCACAACAGCCTTCTGGGATCTGCTTCCGCCCATGCTACCCCATCCTCACCACCTGGTTCCCTCCACCATCCCCAGTACCTCCTAGCATGTCCCCGCCGTGGGCCTCTGCACTTGTGGCTCCTGTAGCCAGAAATGGCCAGGAATGCTCTCCCCCTGATACCATCACGGCTCCCTCCTTCACCTCCTCCAAGGCACAAACGTTACCTTACCACACTGATCAATGCTCCCTGGGTGAACTGCACCCCCACCCAGCACCCCACACACCCTCGGCCCTCGGTTTCCCCTATCGCTCTCTGCCATCTGAAATGCTATGCGTTTGGCAGAGTGATCCCCTGCGCAGTCCCCAGAGGAATGCACACGTCCCCAGGCGAAGGCATGCTGTGTTCCCTGCTCCGCCTCCGGCCCACAGCCCAGGTCGGATGGAGACGTGAGGGCCACTCAGAAGAGAATGCACATCATTCATTAGACAGGAACTGGGGAGCAAGTCTAGCGCCAGGAGGCAAGGTAGGGCCGTGGGAAGCACAGCCCTGAGCTGGGGCTGCATTGCAGGGGGAGGGCACCAGGGCCGGGCCACCTCCCCCACCTAGCTCAACTCAGCTCCAGCTTGGATGGGGCAGGGGTGATAGAGGCCCCCAAGCCTGGCTGGGAGGGGAGGGCGGGGCGGAGGACCCACAGCTGGGCGTAGCTGACACTGCTCACTCCGACCCTGGGCAAGTCCCTCCCCCTTGAGGAGCCTCCAGGGCCTGCGCACAGAACAGGAGCTGGGCGCAGGGTTCCTGGGGCCCTGTCCAGCGGGGATGGGTGGAGACAGCACAGGGTCCCTGGGTGGAGTGGCCAGAGGGTCTTGTTCTCGCAACCTCACGTTGAGCAAAGCCTCTGTTGTTGTTGTTGTTATTGTTGTTGTTATTGTCTGAGACAGGGTCTCACTATGTACGTCAGGCTGGCCTAGAACTCACTATGGAGCCCAGGCTGCCCTCGAACATGGGGTGATCCTCCCGCTTCAGCCTCCTGAGCACTGGGATTACAGGCACGCACCACTATGCCCAGCATGAGTGAGGGCTTTCCAACAGGACAGATATGGGCTTGAATCTCGGGTCTGCCATTTCTTTGCTGTGTGCCCTTGAGCAAAGTCACTTAACCTTTCTGAACCTGTTTCCTCTCCTAAAAACAGTTCCACTTAAGATAAGAATCTAGTGAAAATAATGTCCCACATGGTGGGGGGCTCTGGGCCGCTGCATGAGTGACACCCGAATAAGTACCAGCCTGCAGGGACCAAAGCGGGCAACAGCACAGGTGTGGACTTATTTGAATACCTACTGTGGGTCAGGGCCGGTTCCCAGGACTTGCACATCTGAGGCCCTGGGAAGAGCTGAACGTAGTGCACACCCATAATCCCAGCACTCAGGAGGCTGAGGCAGGAGGATGGCAGAGAGTTAAAGGCCAGCCTGGGCAACATAGCAAGACTATCACAAAACGGAGGGACAGAGCCCGGGATGGCACCCCCCCCCGCCCCTGCTCTGCACCCTACAGTGGGGCGCCCTGTCCGCACAGCCCGCTGACCACAGCTGCACCAGGCAGCCCTCCTGGGACAGGCCAGCTTCAGTAGCCAGGCGGGGGCTGCGGGGCTGGCTGTGCCAGCCGGCTTGGGCGGACGGGCGGGCGGGGGAGAAGGAGGCCCTTGTTTCCTGGACAAAGGGCTAGGCGCCTTGTCGGGTCTGCTGGGGCGGCTGCCACTACACAGGACGTCCCCACTCCTGCACTACGTGCCCAGCCTGGGATGGCAGGTGGCAGGGCAGAAGGACCCTGGCCCGGCCCCAGCCTGGGCCTTGGTACGCAGGAACGTGCAGGGTGAAGGCTGGGACACAGGGACCTGGGGCGGACAGCATGGTCCGTGGGAAACCCAAGCACATGAACCCCACCTTCGACCCCACGGGTTCACCCCCTAAGCCCACATCTAGTGCTCCAAGCCTAGAAAGTGACCACTGAGCATGCTCAGGACCGACTATCTGCCACCAGGGCGGACCTCTCCCCAGGCAGCACCTCCTTCAACAGGACGGGGCCTGTCCATCCCTCCCAGAGCCACGGCAGGGAGACACAGAGGATGCCTGGAACTCACTGGGGGGTGGTCCTGGTCTCTTCAGTCAGGGTCAGAGTTGGTTTCCCCCACTCCGTGTATGCATTGCCCCATCAGTCATTTATACCTTAGTAAAAACAAGCTGACCAGAACCTTCCCTAAAGTAAGTGGACAGAGTAGTTGGAAGCTGAGGAGAAATCACTGGACTGCAGGAGGGCAAAAGAGGACCCTGGAACAGGAAAGTCTCAGCAAGAGGAAGGGGTAGGAAAGAAGCTATCAAAGACACAGGGTGAAAATGAAATACACAGCCTGGGCCCTTTTGGCAGAAAGCAGGTTCACAGTAGAGGCAAGAACCAGGACTCCAGGGCTTTACCAAACACAAATTCACTTATTCTTCACCTCAACCCCACAAGGAGAGGACAGGCAGTGCCCCCATTTTCTAGTGGGGAAACTAAGCCACAAAGAGCTGAAGTAACTTGTCCCAGATGCTGCCGCTGACCGTAACGGCCAGTTCCTGGTCACTCTTTGGGGCTCCCAGCACCTCCCAGTGTCTGCTCTGGGTCTGGGGTTCCTGAATACCTTATCTTTCCACTTAGGAAGCAGCTGACTCCCCACCACCGATGTGTGTGGCTGTTTCCTGTACTGGGGATTTGCACCGAGTCAAATCCCTGGCCCTTTTAGACAGGTGCTTAGCAATAAACTGCCCAGACTGGATTCAAAAGTATGATCCTCCTGCCTCAGCCTCCCAGAGGGCTGGGATTACAGATGCATGCTTGGGTTGGGAGGTGCCTCTGCAGGGGAAGGGACCCCAGCGCTCATGCCTGGTTCCCATTCTGCTCTGCTCCACACCATGGTCACCAGGCCCCCTGAGGACCCTGGGTGAGGACACGACACAGCCACCAATCTGGGTCAGCAACTCGCACCCACCCGTGGGAACCGGCAGCCCAAGACCCACGAGGGGACACAGCTCGGCGCTCAGCGCCCTCAGGTGGCGGGGCCTGACCCATCCTGAGGGCTTTCCTGCCTTCCAGGTAGGGGACCTTCGGAAACGGGAGCAGGAAGCCGAGGCTCAGCTGCACCGTGACCCCGTGCCGGTGCTCCCACATCGAGGCAGGGCTGGCGTGCTCACCACCGGGCGTCCAGCAGACCGTGCCCGGAAGGCGGCGGCCTGGGTGAGAGCCCCAACCGGGAACCGCCCAGATGGCCAGGGAGGAGAGAGGAGAGAAGTGGCCCAGGATGGAATGCAACTCGGCCAGGAGCGCAGCCAGCTGCAGCCGCAGCGGACACGACAGAAGCCAGACGCAGAGGGGCCCGCACAGGCGGCTCAGAACCGGGCCAGACAAACCCACTGTGTGGGGAGGCGGGACCAGGCGAGCCCTGGGGACACCCAGAGGGCTGAGGACTGGGGAGCTGCTCTGTGACCAGCGCAGGTGTTGGCGAGGTGATTATCCTGTTTGTGGCTGTTCATCCAGCTGCTCCCTCCACGTTTTCTTTTTTATTTTTTTTAAAAAAAATCACATGAGAGAGAGGAGGGGGGAGGGAAAGGGGTGCAAAAAGGATTAAGATGTGGCATGCACAGGTAGCAGCTGCCCACAGGGCATGTGAGCATCACGTTGGCCAAACGTGTCCCAGAAAGCATAATGTTATTTTTCAAGAATCATACAAGAATGAAGACATATGTTAAAGAGTTTAAATGGGAGTGAAGCAAGTGGCCTCCCGGGCCGCCCCTCCCCGGGTGTATGCGAGACTTTCAAAGCTCCCACCTCGACTCTCAGTCACTACCTTGGTGTCACTTCTTGGAAAAATCAGCTTGGCGTTAGGCATCCAAGTCTTAAAAAATACTCACAGCCCGAGACTCTAAATGCAAAAAGCATCTGTGCACTGAAAGACACGCTCTACCCGACACAGAGAAAGGTAAACACTGGCCTTGAGTCCAGCAATGGGAGAGTTCAGTGAGTGACAGCGGCCCGCCCCCGGTGGCAGGAGGCTGTTTACAGTAAACACCGCGGGGACAAAGAGAAGGACACACAGGGAGATTAATACAGAATCTACGCAACTCCATGTGAAAAATTAGGTGATAGGAAACACCACTGACTTCTGGGTGGCGACCAGGAGCGCGTTCATCTCCGGGACCGTGGCTCACCCTCTGCGCCCGTGCGTGGCTCTCTCTCTCTCCTAGCGCACACTGACGGCTTGGCCCGAGTCTTGGCACCGGGTACTGTTCAGAGCACCTTACATTCACCGTTTCTTTTGCCACCCGAGTACCATTGTTGTCCCCACCTCCCAGACATGGAAGGCAGGCCCAGAGAGGCCACAGCTCTGTATGTAAAGGTCACACAGCTAATGTGTAGGAGGCCGGATCTGGTTCCTGGCCTGGACCCCGGGGCTAAGATTTCAGCCCCGCTCCTGTACTTGGGCCCAGGGCTGCCAGGCTTTTAATTTCAGGGTTCCCCTCGAAGAAGTCTTTCAGCA